AAAGATTCTTAACCTCTTTCTCATTTAAGTACTTAGTTCAGGTTTATTTAAAATTTATTCATTTTAATATGAGTAAACATTTTTTATATGTTTTTTGGTGGGGGTGGAAAGATGTTGACATATTCTGCCCCAATTTAAAGTGTGGTATTATATCCAAAGTAATACAATAAAATTGGATTTTACTACGTATACAATTTTTACAGTAGTTTTTGTGTCTGAATGCCATTTTACAAATGTTCAAGGCTACTTCAAAATGTCCATGGAAAAATAGAATTAAAAGATGCTGTGAGTCTTTCCACCAACTGATCAAGTACCCTTGTATAATCCATCGACTGATAAGAAAAGAAGTGTTTAAAATGTCCTATTTCGCCATGAAAACAAACAAAGAGATATTGATTAGGCTCATTTTTAGAGCTTACACTGTGTTGGGAATTTAAAAATAAATCACAGATAAGAGGCCTTTCTTTCGTAAAAGGTTTGTTTTTGTTTTATGAATTTCAAGTTGGGCAGATGGGTGTGAATCTCAGATCTGTCACTTGCCAGCTACGTGAGCATGGACAACTGTCTAACCTGCCAAGAGTCGGTCCTCTGGGGCACAGGTCCTGTCTCCTCGGTGTGACGAGGATGGAAATGAGATGGGCTGTGGGCAGGGCCTGTCTCCAGCGAGGGTCTGCACCTCCTCCCTAGACACAATAGCCGCACTCAGCACCTTTAGTTCTCACCGCTAGGCGTGAAGACATGCTCAAAATACTGACTGCCTCTCCCTGAAACGGCCAACTCCTGTTTCCTGGTGGGGTTTTTTGGTTGTTTTTTTTTTTTTTTTTTGAGGTGCGGGGGCACAAGAGAAAGAGAGGAAGAAAGAGTTCCAATCAATTATATTAGTTTCTGAGTACATCCCTGTGAAGTGATGGGGACTGAGGACAAAGGAGCAAAAATTCCATAGGGGGAAAAAACCAACAACCACAAGCACTGTTAGGACCACAGTTTTGTTTGAGTTTTTATTTTTTTCTCATCCCCACCCCCATCCCCCAGCTAATTAGATATGGAGTGCATCCAGTGAGAACAGGCTACACTGTTGTACTTCGGGTTCTGACTTGCACC